ACTCTCATTTCATAAAACACACTTACATTTCATATTTGTTCCCATTTATGTCCAGCACGATCCGGAACAGTGTACGCCTGGCGGTGAGGATGGTAATTTCATTATGTTTGCCCGCGCCACATCGGGTGATAAAAAGAATAACAACAAATTCTCCCCATGCTCACTTAAATCCATAGAACCGGTGCTAAATGCAAAAGCACGTAGCGCCAAAGGCTGTTTCACCGAGCCGCAGGCATCAATTTGTGGTAACGGTGTTGTTGAGCCGGGCGAACAGTGCGATTGCGGCTGGGAGGAGGATTGCAAGGACACATGTTGTTTCCCAATGTCACGTCATCCGCGCATCGACGAGAAGCCATGCACACTAACACCGCGCGCCATGTGCAGCCCATCACAGGGACCATGCTGCACTGGCGATTGTAAATTGAAATTCGGCGATAAGTGTCGCGATGACAACGGCTGTCGCGATCCGAGCTTCTGTGATGGCCGCACGCCGCAGTGTCCGCCCTCGGTGAATAAGGCAAACAAGACTATTTGCAATAAGGAATTCGTTTGTTATATGGGCGAATGTACGGGAAGTATTTGTTTGGCCTATGGCCTCGAGTCATGCCAGTGCATACCGGGTCCAACCGATGACACAATTAAATCGTGCGAATTATGTTGTAAATTGCCTGGCGAGGGCAATGCATGTCGCAGTTCGTTTGAATGGAATGAGCCACCATTCGATGTGCCGGACATGTTCGCAAAGCCAGGCACACCATGCAACGATTACAATGGGTGAGTGCGAAGCGCATTTTGAGCTTTCTAATGAAGTGTTAATCTTGTTTGCTTATGTATATGTTTTCTTGCTTTTAGATATTGTGATGTATTCCAAAAATGTCGCGAAGTTGATCCATCGGGACCGCTGGCAACACTACGTAAATTGCTATTGTCAGAAGAAAGTATTGCAACATTCAAGAAATGGGTGCAACATAATTGGTATACCGTTGTGTTGGCAGCGTTGGGTGTATTTATATTACTGGTAAGTTTCATTTAGTTTTATTGTTTCATATTAGNTTATATTTTAAGACGTCCACCAAAATATTTCGGAAAAATATTAAGATTTAAGTGAGCTGGACCGATTTGAAAATACCTCTAAAAATGGAATTTTATATGAATAAAAATAGTTTCTTATAAATTTTTTTTTGAAAAAATCCCCTCAAATGTCAAAACGGGTTTAGCTTACAAAAATTGCATAAAAATTTAAAAAAAAATTAAAAAAAAATTTGAACTGAATCGTAATAATGGGATTTTAACTTTTTTCAAAGATTGGTATAAGAAAAACTTTAATAACACAACCTAAACTCTTCCGATTTAGATTTAAGAGGTGTCATTGGAAAGGTTTTTTCTCATCGTTTTTATTTCTTTGCTAATAAACTCATTCAAAGGATGCCAGAGAAAGGTACGATGAACGAATATTATTCAAAGTTGAATTAAGATGTGTTGGTATTTGAAAAATAAAAAATTGGGATACGAATGACTTTTTTGGACAGAAATAAAAACAGTGTGAAAATACCTTTCCACTGAGATCCCTTAAGTCTAAATCAGAATAGTTTTGGCCCAGTTATTCAAGGTTTTCGTAAATAAATCTTTGAAAAAAGTAAAAAAACAGCATCAAAAATCTCATTCTTACGATTCCGTTGAAAAGATTTTTAAATATTTTTATGCAGATTTTTTAAGCTTAATCTGTTTTGTCATCTGAGGGGACTTTTTTCAAAAAGTTCTTTAAGAAACTATTTGTATTCATAAAAAACTCCATTTTTGGAGGTGTTTTTTCAAATCGGTCCAGCTCACTAAAATCTTAATATTTTTCCGAAATATTTTGGTGGACTTCTTAAAATATAACAAATTTTACAATCCCGGCGAAAAATCTGCAACTTTTTTTGGTGATGCAGTCTAATATACATACATATATATATATTTTTTTGTTAACAAAGATCTTGCCAAGTTTTCGAGATTGCTCAATCGCATCAGGATTTTCAGATATTATGATCTAAAATTCCAAAATAGCCGTTTTTAAAATTGTCTATTCCACTTTTTCGATCTCCAGGGTAAAATATTTAAATGAAAGACAAAGGGATATGCTTGTAAGGGGAATGAGCAGTTTTAACAACAAAAAAAGTAGATGGTGATGTTGCAACGTCTTAAATCAGCCATGAATTCTTTTATCAAACCTATCCACTTGACGGTACGTGAGCAGGTCTTGTAAACATTCAATTTCCTGAAAAGGAACTGGCATATCGATCGCTAGTGAGACATCTAATAGAACGCCATCTATGGCTGACTCGTCAATTGTTTCATTGCTTTCCACCACCTTGTGGCTGGGAACTCCTTACATTTCGCGACGCTCTTTCGGGTCGATAGCACAAAGTAGCATCTCTGCTGCTTTTCACTGCTAGATAGATACTGCATTGATCTGGTAGTTTAAACGACCTATGGATTACCTTTAAACGTATTTTGAGGTTAGGCAAAATATTATCAGTTGTGATTTAAATTCAGTTAAACTGTAAACCTTGGGAGATTTTATGCCAAGCAAATAGTTTTGTTTCAATCTAAATTTTACAATACAAGTATATGTACTTAAATTTACGATACTATAACATATTATCTTATCCGTAAAGATCATGAAGGTTGCGACGAAAATGTTAAATGACGAATATGAAGAGAAAATAGCTATGCAATTGCGCGAAACTAGTAAGTCCGTGATTAATCTAAGGTTTCTCGTAAATTCGCTAGAAGTGTAAAGGGATATTTAGATAAATGTGCTACTTAAAGTTTTATCTCGTGCCATTCATCATCATAAGAGGCTTTTGGGGTCTATGCTAACGCTAATTCTCAGTAATTTATACAAATTGTAAACGAAAACGCAAACGAGTAAGGCGCCTGTCACACCATCAATACGGATCGCGATATTTGGGTCACGATCCTGGATTGAGAAGTGTAGCATTGATGGATCGCGATCAATATCACAAGGTTTCTAAATATTTTTAAATCCATAAATTATGGCGATCCGTATTGATGGTGTGACAGGCGCCTAAGATTACGCTAGGTGCTGTCATGCAATTTCTCGTCATGCGAGCCGTTTTCATTTATGTACAAACATAATCGGCTTCGTCGATCAGCAGAAACATTTTAAGAGAGTGCGCTTCTAGTACTTTCAATACTAATCAAAAAGAATCGCATGGTTGAAAATTGCATGCCAGCGCCTGACTTAGTGATCTATGAAACCACTCTTTCATACTCAAAAACGCGTAATCATGTGCTTTGAGCGCTAATTGATTTAGGCTAGCATTTATGATAAAAGAGAATACATTTTCAAAATACTATGCTATATATGTATCTGATTCACTTTTCACTTCAAATTTTCACAGATACTCAGCACGAAGCTGCTGGCGAAGCGCTCGAATCTGAAACTAAAATCGGTGACCATAATACACAGCGCCACCACCGAAACCGTGCGTCTACCCGACGACAACAACGGCGTCATCGTGCATACGGCCGTCCGTACAAAAGTTCCGTTCAAGAAAAAAGTACGTGGCGAGCGCAGCAACAAAAGAAAGAGCGCCCACAGGAGCGGCAGTAATGGGAATATACGCGCTGGCAAGGCGAAAGATGGCGGTGGAAAGGTGGCCGCGAAGACCGGAGGCGAGTTGATTGCGAAGTCGGCGCACGCGCATAGTCGAAGCGGAAAGCTGAGCAACGCGGCGGTAGCAGCTGGACTGACGTCAGCGGGTGGTGTCAGTGGCGTAAATGATGAAGTCTCGAAACCCTCGCGCACCAAAAAGAATCGCGTGGGTAGCGGTGGTGGTGCGACTGCACTGAAAACTACGCCAGTTGCAACAGCGCTTGGCACACCTTTAGCTACCACAGTTGGTGGCGTTAAACTGGAGAACGAAACGAAGTCGAGGTCGAAGCGCTTCAAGAAGAACAACAAAGAAATCATTGACTATTCTTCACGCAGTGGTGCTGACGCGGCGAGCGTTAGCGGGAACGCGCATACCAATACCTTTGGCAAAGTGCAAAAGTGGTTGTTAGAGTCGCCAATTGTTGTACAGCCACTATCGCATATTGAGCACTCTTCGAAAATACGAAAGGTANTTCAAATTCGCGCTGCGGCTTTCCAAGAATATCAAGGTTAAAACGCACGTAATTGGCGGCGCAGTCAACAAGCCGAAGCGACAGACACGCACTAGTACAAACGCAGCAGCGAATGGTGCGGATGGTAAACGCAAAAGCAGCAATCAAAATAGCGAGGGTAGCAAGAACTCTGGCAGCGGCGGTGGTGAGGAGATGAAGTGCAAGCGCATTGCGCTGCTACTCCGCAACAATAACGAAGACAATCAAATATTAACTTTAAATGAACCGACCTACGAGACGCTAAACCCGAAAACCCTGCCCTCCAAGATGGAGAACCCTTTCTATGAGAATTTGCAGTGCAGCGCACAAACTGGCGAAATGCGCGCCGCCAACGCTGTCAACAACGACGCAGTGGCCACCAATAGTGCTTCGACGGCATCAAACGCGAACGGGTCCAACAAATTGAACGCGAGTGTCAGTAAAATACCAACAGACGCGCATACAGCAACTGTTGCTGGTGGCGCGTTACAAAAACAACGCGCACACAACTATAACCGCTCCAATTCGTTCTCAACTAACAATCCATTTGCCAGCAGTCATGCAGCAGCGTCTAGCGCGCGGAAACTGAGCGAAAGTAATACCATGCAGCAGCAGCAACAGCACGCGCCACCCGCCAGCAATTTGGGACGCAACTTTGGAAGCACACAAAACCTCGGGCAGGCGGCACAAAATCAAAATCATTTAGCCAAATCGAAGAAGCGTAGTAGTTTGAACTTAAAGTTGAACAGCGCCTCTAAAAACAGCAAAGATCCGCCGGTAGCGGCACGGCGCAGCAATTCAAATATGAATTTACGCAGCCATGCTGCGGCCAACACATATCAACCAAGTACCTTCCCAAATGCCACTTCCACATATGCCAGCAGCAATGGCGCCAATGCGACTGCAATAGTCGCTGCAGCTGTGCCTATACCCACAGAGCGGCAGCTGCGGCGCAGCTCCAGCAGTATAGCCTATCAAAATCAGCCAAAATCCAACAGCATTGCAAATGCCAGCTCCGCGCTGCCGGCAACTACTTTTACCACGGCGCTACCTGCCGCGCACACTAGCTTCAGCAACATACCACGTGCCAGCCTCAGTGCCGCGCTCAACAACGGCGCCAACGCCAACGCCAATGCCAATGCCAACGCCAGCGGTGCCAGCCCGAATTCT